TTATGATAATGTATCCGGTGCGGGATAGTGCTATTCACAAACATTCACCCCTTCCACAACCGACTCTACATTATTAGTACTATATCAAAAAGGTATTTATTCTTATTCAGAGGTACATACCTTGAATTCCTCTCTCAGTTCTGAGTAGTCTGTGGCTTTCAAAGACTTCATATACTCAAGAAATTCGTGTTTTGCCATAGGTTTACTTTCTGTTAGAAATGTAGTACAGTTGAAAATAAGGCTATTGTCAATAACATAGTAATTTGCTTAATAGTCATGCTCATACAATGCAACTTGTATCAGCTTGATAACCCTTTACAAATGTCTGTTTAATTAGGCCTGGATGAAAGGGGACAGGGCCATGGTGGTCGCAGTTTACAGGCAAATATATGCAAGATTTAATTGAAGTACAAGTATATTTACTATAACAAATTCAAATGGAATACACAGACTAAAACTGCTTAGCTTAGTCATTTCAAATTAAAGATGTATGCGTTACCAACATAGCCACTAACACCAACGTCAACGTAAGTTTTCGGGTTTTTGCGTGATGATTTTGAAGTGCTACCATCAGGATCATTAACGATATCATCAAGAGAGATATCCGAGCAGTCGTTCCTTGCAATGCGGCTCCTGCAATTACAAAAGTTGTTATCAAACTATGCCAAGTTTGAATTTTCAGTTCATTCCAATTTACAACAGGCTGTTGTTGTTTGACCGGGTTCGTTATATGGAAATTTGCGAGTAAAGACTTGGAAACTCAAGAGTCATTGATGTCATAACGTTTTGTTTTAAAAAAACATGCAAACTTTCATACCGTTTGTATTTGAATCCTAACAGACTCAGTATAACCACAATTACAAGTAGGGATACTACGACTCCTATTATCACACCACTGGGAGGAGTACTCTTTGACTGTTCTGCATGATTTTTCGATTCTGAAAACGAAAATGACAATTAATCGGTTACAAAGAAAAAAAGTACTTTTCATCATCCTAATGATAGTACCAAAGTGTTGCATGTGTTCACCTACAGCTGTAGCGCTTTCCATAACGACCTCATTTTGATTTTGTTTTCCACATCAAACTTTTATTACTACCCGCAAAATCGATCATTTTATCTTTTAAGGACTCAAATACGAATATTTCCTCTTACGTCAACCATAAACTTTTAATTAAATGAAGTATGTAAATTAGGGCACCAACACAACATACACTACATAGCGCCAACACAAGGTTACACCAGGCGGATCTATTTTTAATCGGTATATAGCTAGTATCTATGGTTTTAAGTTGTCATTGTATGAAAATGTCTGCAAAATATTTCCACATATAGCCTTCGCCTTTGTAGGTGTTATATTCATCGATTACCTGCAGTAAGTTCGATTGTTGCAATATGGACTGGATCACTCACGTAGGTTTTCTGGAAGAAATCGTTGGAACGGAATTATGTATAGATTAATAGTCAAAAAAAGTAACAAAAGTCTGAAAAAGGTTAATCATAAACGGAGGATTATAAGAAAGTTGGAACAATGGGGAAGAAATGGAAAGATCGAAGGAAGAAAAAAAGCTACGAATGTGAAAATTAAGAACTGAGAGATAATACATGGAAAACAGAAAATAGAATAGCCCGTTGTCCAGACGTTTCAAGAATTGATCGATTTCCTTTTTTTACAGAGAACTTTTCACAAATCAGTAACATCTGTTAAATAATTACATCAAATGAAACTACCTTTCACTTACCTTTTCATATATTGTGATTGCTCTCTCAGCTACGGTGTAAGCCTGACCTTTTTCCAAAGGCACGTTTTTGTATTTCCCATACATTCTATTGTTACCGATGACAAACATCCCTGCAGTCTTTATTTGGTCTGGTGTTAGCTCGGCTGTGATGTAGAACAGTTCGCTATTGCTGGTGGCATTTTGGTAGTCACTAAGGTTTTCTGGTATTTCGGTCATGCTCTTATTTCTACCACTGACTACAATTACGTGGTACGAACTGAAAATAAATGCGCATATCATCAGCTTATTAGATTGCACCTATAAGATGTTATCTCAGTGAAACGAGCTCACATATAAAAGAATTAGTCATGCTACAATCTTCACTATAAATGGTGCATCCTGATCCCCTTTCCCACTGGAAGGTTATGACCAAATATTCAAATAAAAAATAAATAGATAATTCTAAAATATAATAACATAATTCCGCAAAGGATTTTAGCACTGAACCACCAAATCGTACGATGCTCTCTGGTGGTCATTTGATACGTTGCATAAAGATTTTAGTACGGCTAGATTTTTAGACTTCTGTACCTAATTGGTCCATTGTGTGGTTTGAATGTCCATAATGTAACGTTAGAACTGTCTCTAAGAATCAAAGGAGTTACTTGCTGTGAAAGACGAGGGTCTGTCGGTTTAAAATGAAGCAACATTATTAATGACAAATATAAACCCCTCCTCATACAAGCGTTAATATGTCCTGGTACATACTGTCCACTTTTGTTTCCACTGTTTCTGTTAAACTCCTGTTGCTTTCACCGCAAACTGTCAACGCTGTTACCCAAAATTCATAGTATGTCCCTGGCTGCAAGTTGTCTATCTGAAGTGTTGTTTGGCTGCCATCTTGGAGTTTAGTGTCAAGTGGAGGTCTATATTCAGGCCAGTATGGCTTTGAACCCTTAAAATATACCTTGCATGAAATAAAAAAAACAAGATTTACGGAAAATAAAGTACTATCATTGAAAACAACGCAACAACAACAAAACAAATTATATTAAAAAAAATTGTCTAGCATATATTCCAAAAACACAAATATATTAAAATATGAAAAAAACAGTGGGGAAAATATCAATTCCTACATTTCTGTATAAATGGATGCGATTCCTTTGTTTTGAGGAGTATAACCTACGGCGCTCTTACCTTCATCAAAAACGGTTATGAGAGAATTTTGAACATGAGAAGGTGAATATTTACAAAAGGGTTCTACCAATTTGTTTTTCTTTCAACATTTAATCTCATGAAAATAACACATTCGTAGCATTTCTACATATTGGAGATAAAGAAAGTTACTTATAATCTTTCAATCTTTTTACCATTTTGTGTTTAATGAGCACATACCATATAGTCTGTTACATCTTCTATCATTCCTTTTGGTTTTTCCCATGCCAATGTTATAAAAGACTTTCCTATTCTACGTGACTTCAAGTTATACGGTTCTCCTGGTCCTTAAAAAAAAGAATTTGCTGAGCTCATAGAAAAGAGAAAATAAAATTCTTCCTCTTACTAGCCTTAGATACGCTAAATTAGCTAATGTTGTGTGATAGACTGTTAAGAAAGCTTCTTAGGGGATATTTTAATAGTACTTACTTGATGTGGTAACAACTTGAGTAGCATTTGGACCTAAACCAGCTACTGTTGCAGCCGCAACATGAACTTCATACTGTGCACAGAGTCTTAGACCCTGCAAAACAAATTGGGTTCTCTTTGTTGTCCCAGTAAAAGTGTCACCAACTGCCATTCTCTTAGCTCGTCCAATGTGACGTAAGGCCCAGACGATCTTGTACATTGTGATTTTGCCATTAGCTTTGTTCCTAGGTAACGGCTGCCAAGCAATAATAAAGGTCGTTTTGTTTTGCTCTGTCACTTCCATGCCTTGTGGTGCGATGTCAGGCACTAATTTGATAACATAATAAAATGCAATCAATGATAGTTACAATAGTAAGAAAAGTTGCTACTTTGTGAAAAGTTCTACTTTAAGAAAAGTGTGATTTTGAGTCATGTGCCAAATATTTCAACTTGTGTTACAGCGACTTATCCACGTTCAAAATAAACCCACAGCACGAAAATACAAAGTTTTCACTCCATGATAACACTTCACATCAATATGACGGCATTGAAATATATTATTCAAACGCGAAAGAATCATTAAACACGTTTTATACACTTATAATTAACTGATAAACTAATCCTCACACTGCATCGACGTTGAGATCAGTCATTTTGCAATTCTTATACCAAATTTGATTTGGGGTTTACCAAATCACCCTTGAGCCACCTCCTACTAAATACGCTCCAGATTTAAAGTGCTAATCTTATCAAAAAACTAAAATTCTTGAAATTTATACAGAATAAAATATAAATACCAAATAGTGTTCTGGACGTTTATAGTGTCTATACGTCAACGAAAAGATATCTTTTTGAACCGATGAATTTCGCCGTTTTCTGATCCGCCATTATCATAGGCTACCCAACTATTGCTTGAGAGAAAGAAAAGAATGAATGCGCACGCTTTTACGCTAGTATCGCTAATACTAGTATCGGCGCGCGCTCTTAGTGAAATGCGGATTACCTGTGGCATTACGTCACGTCCCGTGCCTCGCGGGATACAAACAAGTCTGTGACAAGGTATGAAACACTGGTCACGTGATGGATCGATGTGTGCACCAGCATGCCTGTCTATCCCTCCCTATCGTTTTTTTTCGTAACGACTTCGAGACCTTTCGCAAACAGTCGCAACGCTTGAGGTTTTTCCGATGATTGACCGATAATAAGTCGCTCGTCGTCGTCGTTTCGTCGCTGCCATGAAACTTGGTTGATCTTTCACAGATTTTGCTGTTTTTCTTGTATTTTTGTTGGAAAGTTCCATGTCATTATTCGGGAAATTGAAGGCTTCGTGGAAAAGGTGGGACAGTGCACTGTAAGAAACAATTTGTTCAGCGAAAACATTTTATTCAAGACACTTTAGTCACCTTGAAAACCGAAGCAGATAGACAGAC